CCCTGTATATTTCTACTTGATTCTCCCACCTTCAGTTTTATGTTTATCATTCTTATGCATATCTTACTTTGTCTGGTACATCTGTATCCCTGAAAATGTAATTTATTTTTCAGTATATTTATTTAAACAGTTTTATTGGCATATAATTCAAATGTCAGCAATTCAGTAGTTCAGTCACATCAAGAAGAGTTATACAGTCATCGCCACAATCGGGTTTAGAACATTTTCTTCATTCTTGTACTCATCTTTATTAGTTCCCCATTTCCCCCCAACTTCCCCTGCCATAACCCCAGGGAACCATAAGTGCAGTTATTGTCTCTATAGATTTACCTATCCTGGATTTCATGTACGGAAAGACATGGAAAAAAAAACCAACCCAAAACTACAGAAACTCACAACAGTAACAAAGTAAAACCTATAAAACCTCAGTCAATTGTCTCTATATTTGTCTATTTTATGCTTCAGAAAGGAGCCCTGGTAGTGCAGTGGTTAGGAGTTGAGCTGCAATCCGAAGATCAGCAATTCAAAACCACAAGCTGCTCTATGGGAGAAAGAATGATGCTTTCTACTCCTGTAAACCATTACAGCCTTGGAAACTCACAGGGCAGTCCTCTCTTGCTCTCTAGGATAGCTGTGGGTCAGCATGGACTCTGGCCATAAATTTGGTGGTGGTTTTTTGGGGGTCTTTTTTGGTGCTTCATATACTGGAAAACATACTCCCCCTCCCCAAAAAAAGCAGTTATATTAAATAGAAAAAAAGACTGGTGACACTATTAAAATAAACCAGGGAAAAAAGGAAATATTTGAGAAAAAAAGCAGGAAATATTAAAACCTAGAACAAATTTAAAATGGGTTAAAAGGGAGATCAAATGACCAGGTATTATATTTTAACTTAATTATATCTGTTTTATCAACTTTACGGTAGACTGTTTGATAGCAAGATTATTCATATCCCTCAATTATGGTCTGATACTATTCTCTTCATCCGATTTGGATTTTATTATTTATAAGCTTTGGATCACACAGGCTGGGGTGCTTCTTCTTTGTGGACTTGGTTGACACCTTACTTAGATGACTGCTTGTTTGAATACAAGGCTTTAAGACCCCAGACACCATCAACTTTCTTCATCACACTTTGCTGGAGTACCATATCATCAGTGATCTCTTCATGAGGGCAAGCCTTAAGCAGGCCATGTCATGAGCATGATAGTGGGACAGGAGGAAAGTCAAGGGAAATAGAGGAAAGAGCTGGGAGGCAAAGGG